TCCAGTGTACTGGGATGCAGTCAGAGGGGCCAATGCAGGCCCCAGTTCCCAAGAGACGGAGAAAGTGCCTCTGATTCCCAGGGTAGTGAGGGAAGGAGAGCTAGGGTGATGCCCCTCCCCAGGTGCTCCTGGCCATCTTTTCTCCATTAGGTGAACCTCCTCATTCCTGTTGCGTACTTGGTGTTCTGGGCATTCCTACTGGTCTTCAGTTTCATCTCGGAACCCATGGTCTGTGGGGTCGGTGTCATCATCATCCTCACTGGGGTTCCCATCTTCTTCCTGGGAGTATTCTGGAGAAGCAAACCAAAGTGTGTGCACAGACTCACAGGTGAGCCAGGTCTTGCCACCATGCCTCTGGGGGGGGGGGTAGTGTGAGTATCTCTTTGATCCCACCCCAGAACAAGGGCCTTCTACCAGCCTGGTTGGTGACAAATGACCCAGTAACTTCCCTCAAAACTTCCTGCTATGTGTAACTGTGGCCAGGATCCATCTACAAAGGAAGCAACTCCCTGCCCAAAAGGAGGTGCCTAAAGTTAGGGTCAACACTCCCCACTCCCATCCCCATGATCTATCTGTCTGTCTTATCTGTCTGTTCTTAGAGTCCATGACACGCTGGGGCCAGGAGCTGTGTTTCGTGGTTTACCCCCAGGGCTCCCTGGAGGAGGAGGAGGAAAATGGCCCCATGGGCCAGCCCTCCCCATTGCCCATCACGGACAAGCCCTTGAAGACACAATGAGACCTTGTAGAGACTGAAACAGCTGATTCTGTTTACATGTTGTTTATTGAGGAGGGTTTTGTGTTTTGTTTTGTTTTCAAAAAACTTTTTTTTTTTTCTGGAAAAAGAGAGAGAGAGAGATCCGACCCTTAGAGGCCTACTGTGAGGGACCAGCCACTGGGGTCGTGCTTCCTGCCTTAGCAGTGCCCTGCTACCTTCTCCTGAAAAGCCTGTGAATAAACAGGGCTGGTTGTCGCTGTGTGCAAGGGGAGTCCATGGGGACATGCCTCAGCATGGAGTGTTGGTTGCTAGAGGGGAAGGTACTGTGCAAGAGGTCTTCTGGTAGGTTTTGCAGCTGGAACCTGAGGCTGACTCCATGGGGCCCACGGGAGACAGCAAGACTCCATCTGCGACCCTCCATGCCACCTTGAGCTCAGCCCCCCAGAAGAACCCCCAAATTTCCAGCTGGGACTGTCCTTCCCATAAGTCACCAGAGTGAATGCTACTACTTCTGATGGTGGTGGGGAAACTGAGGCTCTGAGGCAGGACAGGATGGATGTTACCATTGCCACTTGGCTTCTGTATCTCGAGAAAGCATACATGGCCTTTCTCATGATCGTCCTCTCTCATGTTTCCAGTCTTACCGTTATGCTTACGGACTGACCCAGAAGCCAGTGGGCAAAGGGCCCTAGCCTAGCCAGGTCCATGCTGATGCCACAGGCATGAGAATGGGACAGAAGCCATTAGCCCATCTCCCCCAGGGGCACTGTGGGGAAGGGTGGAAAGAGCACTCACCGTGACTGAGGTCCAACACCCCCCGGGACCTTTTCAGGCCTCAACTACAGCTCCTGGCAGAGTTCTGGGATGGGCAGCTGGTACCACTGTGGGGTGAGTGGACACAGAAAGATAGCAGAAAGCCTGGTTCTGGCTCCCCCTGCTTTTATAGAAACGAATCCCCAGATTAGAATTGCAAAGAGCAATTCGACAGGAGCATCCAAGGGGCTGTGCTCTCTGAGACCTCAAAGGTGGTCTTCACTCCACCCTCCTTCCCAGGCCAAGGAACGGGCCCCTAAGCCCCTGCCAGGATGCCCACCAGAGCTATAGGCTTTGGGGGGAAACCCCCGCCCCCGGGGCCCCGGGCT